TACGGCACAGTCGATCAGAGTTTTCAGCACCCAAAATTTGTGGGAGCTTTTCTGAATGCAAAAATCGAGTAATAGTTCTCTTAAATAAAGGATAATTTTGCAGAGTTTTCACACTCATGGGTAGTTTATTCCAAATAGCAATTGCATTTACAGAAAAGAACCGACGATATTTAGCAGTACGTGCCAGAGGCAGAAATAAAAAGACCTCACGGTGACTGTTACGTCGTGGGTGGCTATGATGTCTTAATGAGGTGAGTGGGTTAAATGTGTGATTATATAAGAGTTTAAATAGCAAAAATAGTCCCTTTTGTAATCTACGGAACCATAAAGGATCGAGGCCTGTAAACCGGCAACGTTCTTGGTAAGACAAATGTCGGTGTTCCGCGGCTAAAATTCTCTTGGTAACAAAGTGTTGAACGGATTCTATTTTCTTCCACTCAGTAGCACGCATGAGGCTAAATGAAAACGAACAGTATTCCAGGCCAGGTCTAACGTACATGTTGAAAAGGCGCATTCTAATGTCCCTAGTTTTAAAATTTCGGTGGATAAACCCGGTCGTTCTACGTGCTTTGGAGACTATCAAGGCACAGTGCTCCGAGAGATTGAAACTCTTGGAGTATGATATGGCCAGATCTTTTATAACCCTGGGCACATTTATGGCGTGACCTTCAATATTTAGTTGAGGTTGGTGGTGGTCGCCAACCACCATGACTGAGCACTTATGCCAAGAAAGAGAAAGGCGTCATGTGCGGCACCACTGGGCGAAAGCCTGTAGATCGCTCTTTAGGAGCTCAAGCACGATGTCATGATCTGCCGGCTGATATCGATATGCAACTTTAAGATCATCGGCATACATGAAAGGCCTACCATTCTAAAATAAATCGGGTACATCATTAACGAAAAGGCAAAATAAAAGCTGGCCGAGTACACTACCCTGAATGACGCCTCTCCTCACACGTGTGGGGTTGGAGATAGCATTGGAAATCTTAACTCGTTGTGTACCAGTGCCCAGGTAAGAGGATATAAAATTCAAAAGTTTGCCACCTATTCCGAAAGAGGACAATTTCAAGACAAGAAGATCATGGTCAACACGATCAAAAGCCTCAGTGAAATCGAAATATACTGTGCAAAGAACAAAACCATGGTCCCTAGATTGGAGAACATAGTCAAAGAAAGAGAGTTGACAGGTGTCACAAGATCGAGCTTTGAGGAATCCATG